TAGGCAATTCTATTAGAGATAGCGGGAGGCATTATGGTAACCGTTGTTGATCACCTAGTATTGTGCTTTTACATTTTCTATTATGTCCACCCTTTTGATTTGACTGACTGTTCTGTTATGTCACTTTTGGTTCTACTCTCTTCCAAAAAGGTAATAAGAACTGTGGGAGCAACAAAACCCAAAATGTGTAATTGTCATTGTACAAAAGAAAGGAAAAGAAAGTGCTCTAAATGATATAACTGCATGCATATTTAAGTGTATAAGATAGATAATGATATTACTGAGTTTTGTTGGATCATTGAACAGAACTGTTTGCAGTCTCACTGTTGGAATGTCCACTTTATAAGCTTTAATTTTGTAACTTGAACAATTATTTCTAAGATGACAAAATGTAATCCATTAACTAGTGATTTCCTACTGTTTATTTTTTCTGTAAATCTGTATAACTTGTACCCTTTCTCTGCTTTTTTTTCTTTATCTCCTTAAATAAAATTAAAAAAAAAAAAGAAAAAGAAATTCCCTTAGCTCCTCCACTATTGGCCCTGCTTGCATAAAAGAAGTTGAGGACTCAGAGGATAAAACAATGGAAATGACAGAAAGTCCAATGACACAGGGACCCTGAGTTCCTCTGGCAGGGCTCCCACATCTTATAGACCCTTTTGGCATTGACAAAAGATATCCATAAATGCATAGAAAGACGCAGGACCGAAAAAGAACTCAGCTGTATCAAAATACAGTTTGACCCAGTGTGCCACAGGATCCTGTGTTCCAGGTTAAAATACCTGACAGCCAAACCTTTTGCGGCCAGCTCAGAAAATGATCCATGCTCCTCCAGGTGGGTAAAAGCTTTAACTCCCTATTCCTGGAGCAGTGTAGGAGCCAACTGATTTATTATTTTAGAAAATTAAGAAAAAAGGAGAACTCTTGCTGCTTCTGCACTGAGAGAGGCTGCATGTTGTCCATGTGGAGGTGTGGAGGTGGCCCTGCAGCCCTCTAGGGGTTCATAAGAACTCACCTTGCTTTATACAGGATTGCAAAGCCAGACAAAGATTATTTCCTGCTAAGCATCTGGAAAGCTTAAGGCCACTGTAACTTGACTGAAGATTCGGCCAGTGCAGATGTCCCAGCTCCCGGAATCTGATGAACAGAACAGCCTTTGTCCAGGACCCCGGACCACCAGTTTCCAAGTCTGCTGCGGAACACTTGGCTCTCAGTGTTTCTCAGGGACCAGTCAGCAGCTGGTGCCTCCCTTAGCCACTGAGAAGGTGGACAAGTATTTAACCGGAGGGCAATGGCCTTGGCCCAGTCTCCTAGCTCCCTCCTTCTGCCCGTTTATCTCTTTTCAGGGAGAACAGTGCATAATGCTTAAATGTACAGATTGAAATCAGCACTTAAATTCTCACTTCAGCCCTTGATAAAAGTTGTATGAACACTTTCCTTCCCCTGCCCCAGTGTCTTCATTTCTCTAGTGGAAGAGTTGGAATTGCTGTCCTTCAGGAGGTGGTCTCAGGGAGAGGGACTAATATAGAGAAAACACGGGGCCGGCACTTGGTGAGCAGCGTCCTCTACCCAAGAGCTGCTGTTCTGGTCAGTGCCTGCTGAAACCCCGCCCCGCCCCTGCTGTGTGCCTTAGGGATACAGAAGACACTGAGGCAAGTGTGGTCAGCTGAGTGGATGTGTTCAGAGAAGCTCATCAGCCATGACCAGAGCAGTCCTGGCCCCCGGCACATCTCTGTCTTGACACATCACAGTGAGATAAGCAACTCAAGAACTGTCACACACAGAGAATCCTGCCCGCCTGACCCCCAGTCCTACATCTGTGTGCCTGCTCTCTGCCTCCCCTCTTGGCTCTGGTGACACAGAACCTCGGCTCCTCAAACGCCAGCGTTTCTCCTTGAGCTCTGATCCCACCGCTCTCTCCCATGGGGCTTGCCCGCCAATTCCACCTCCCTCTCCTAAAACGGAACCTCCTTATCTCCCTTCACCTGCTAAGTTCTCTGCTTTCTTTCAATATCGGGGAGCATGGCTTCCTCTTTTTAACGTAGTCTAGCGAGGCTTCCACCCCTCCACTCTGCACAGAGCGCTGCTGTCGAAGTCAGTAATGACCTTCCTGTTGCTAAATCCAGAGGCCACTTCCTTGTCCTCCCGTTCTTTGACTTCACAGCAAATATTGATCATTCTCTCCTTTGTGAAACACTGTCTTTCATAAGCTTTATGATGCCCAGTACTCCCTCTTCACTCTGTCCCCTTAACTGGCCCCTTCCTCTGCTCAGTCTCTAAAGCTGCCTGTCCTGGGCATCCTTCTCTTCCCTTTTGGCATGCCCTTCTTGCTGACCCCATTCAGTTACACCCCTCTGAAGACCACCTATATTCTGATGCTCCCTAATCTCCACCTCCAGTCCTGATTTCTTCCCAAAACTTGCTGTGCCTACCCACTGCCTTCTTAAAATTTTCACTGGAACATCCCCTAGACAGTTCAAGGAGAACTCATCCATAAGGAACTCGAGTTTTGCTCCCAAATCTTCTCTTTCCTTGGGCTTTCTGGTTTTAATGAGCCTGTGTGTCCGTAAGATTATTTAACCTTTAAACCTTTGAGCCAGTCTTGAGTCTTCTCTTTGAAAGGTTCTCGCCCTATGATAAATCACTGTACAATGATGGCAGTGGCCTAACATGGCAGAAGGCCAAAGCGGGAGCCCCTACCACTTCCCACTTCCTCAGCCCTCATTGCAACTCCCCTTCCTGTTTACACACACAGAGAATTCCAATTGGTTCCTCACATGGCATCACTATTAGACCCCACTTCCCATCAGAGGTCATATAATCTTCTGCCTCTCTGTATCTGGTTGAAGGAGACAGCCCAACCGGCATGAGTTGTGTGCTCTTTTCCATGTCCTCAATAAACCTGTTCATTCTGTACTTTTGCTTCTCTATTGCGCCAGAATACTCTAACACTCTTTCCTCATCTTTTGCATTCAGTCCATCAGCAAGTCTTGTCCACTTGATTTCCAAAGCAATTCCAAATTTACCTACTTCTCTCCAGTTCCCTTTCAACCACTCTAGTCCAAGCTACCATTCCTACTCCCAGCAAGGTTGCAATAACTTCTCAGGGGATCCCTGTAGCTGGTCTATAACCCATCTTCACAGGGCAGCCTAAGTGATCTGGTCATGTTCTTTCCTAAAACCTTCCAGTCACTTCCCACTGTGCTGGAAATATAATCCAAGGTTCTCAAAGCAAGCTATAACCCAGCTTCTACCCACCTCTCCACACCCATGTCCTCCTCGCCCTCTCTATACAAGCTACACTAGGCTCTCTCTCCCCCAGGACAAGATCTCTCTCCACTGTAAGACTTTGCACTGACTGCTCTTCCAGGAATGTTCTCCTGATTCTGGAAAGCCTGGCTCCTTTTATCCTTCACACATCACTTGAAATGTCCACCCTCAAAGATGCCCTTCCTGACCACCAAACCTTTTATTCCTATCATGCGCTCGCTTCTCTCCTAGATATTTTCCTGTTTATCTCTTCTCTGGAAAGCGAGTCTCACAGGAAGCAGGACATTGTCTCTCCTCCTCACCGCTTTGGAGTGGTGCCCAAGTAAGTTGCTTCACACTGGTGTTGATGCACACTGTTGGATGAGTGAATGAAAGGACAAATGAATTAGTGACAGAGCTGGGACCACAACCCAGGCCTCTGTCCCTGCAGGCCACCGTTCTTTCCTGTGTGGCTCACAGCTTGTTTTCTTCCTTTCACCAGATGCTTGGCTCCATCAGCCCTCTGCCTCCAGCTTCTCGTGCCACAGAAGTGGCCACTGGGGGGCAAAGAAGAGAGGAAAGACGGCAATTGAATAAATCATTAAGTATGCATTGATAACTTCATCAAGGGGATGGACACAGAGGTAAAAAGAAATAGCATTTATTTGGAAAGCAAAGAATTGCAGTGCTAAAGCACTGAATCAGGGATCCTGAGTAATAGAAGTTCACGCGGCAAATGCCGGAGAGGATTTTGAAGGGGCATTCATCCCTACAATAATTGTTTTTGGAGGCAGCTCATTGGCTGGTGGAAATCCTGAACTACAAGCCCAGTAATGGGCTGATTAATGAGGACTGTCCAGCCAAGAGACCCTGGCAACCAGGGGACACTGACATCGACTGCTCACCTGGCTCCTGACATTCTGTGCTTTAACCCGCCCTCTTGCAGCTTCCTGACTCCGCCCTAAAACCTTAGCCTTAGTGGCTTCATTTTCTTTTACAGTAACGATCCACACAGCTACTGAAAACCAGACATTCGGTAAATGCTGGTTACGCTCAGGTTCTGCATCAGGTGCCCGGTGTCCCTGGAGAAGGGATCTGACAGTTCCAGGGACAGGCACTTTAGGGTACTGCCCGGCACTGTGTACCGAGCTGGGATGGAGCCACCGGTGCTGTGGCCACACAGAGCAGGGAGCAGGGAACGCGATGTGGGGTGGCTAGAATCCAGGATGGAGATCAGAGGTCTGGGGTGGTTCTTTATTCCTTGCCACAGTGAGTTCACCAAAACAATTCCACCCTCAGTGCAATCATACAAAGAAATCACTGAGGAATCCAATCCAAAAGATCACACCATCGAAGAAATATGCAATCAGGGGAAGTGGGTTTTACTGTGATGATAAAGGAAGTAGCTCTGTTGCATGAACAGAAAAAGGTCTGTGCTTACATTTCCAAAAGCTCGTTTCAGAGCACTGGATCTTCCCCACATAGAATACTAGGATCTGCATTAAAAGACCTAGAAGAGCAAAGCAAATATAAGGGTTACCTCTGAAGTGTAAGATGATGAGGTGCTTACACTTTCCGAGTCTTACAGTTTGGTGCTACTTCAGCTGTTTAGAATAAATGTGTGTTATTGTGAATCTAAATACAAAGACTTTTAGAACCTAGATCTTGTTTATGACACTGAGAAGCCTGTGATTGGCTCTGTGCTCCAGAAACACGTGAAGAGAGGATTTCCTAGAATTATATCATTTGCCAGCAGTTACGGGAAAAATGAAAATGAAGCCCAGCAAGACAATGTGACCTTTTTTCCTGTCGTGCATTCTAGTGGTTACCAAAGCAGGCTGGTGTTGCCTGCCACTCGGCACACCTGTCCCTGAGGGGAAGAAGAGATTGGTAAGAGAGAAAGTGTCACTGATGGTCAAGCTTGGGGTGGGGGAGCTCACAGATGCAAACCCACTTTCCTGGGCTCAGAGTTTCAGGGCATTTATGGTGTGACGCACAGGAGGAAGTGGCTGGTGGGAAGAAAAGGTGAAGTAAGTGGTGGGCTGTGCACAGCAAACTTCACGGCTCTCTGCATGAAGGTAGTGTGGCGGTGTCCAGCCCTCTGGCGATGGAGGTCTCCCGCTGGACAATTGTCCGGGCTCACATGAAGAGCTCAGAGGGTTCAAACCGTTTGAGCCAGATAATGCTGCCTCCCAATCCCTAAAATAGTTTTAAAACTCTTATAAGTGCCCATCACCAGAGGGATCATCACAGCGAAGCTAGCAATAGTCTACTACCTTACTGTTTAGTCAAGTGACTTTGAAAACCATTCATGAAACTAGAGGATTTATTTAGGTTTCCTCTGAGTTTCAAAAGAAAGGATGTGCCATTTCATTTTTAAACTTTTCCTAGAGCAGGGAACGACACAAGCCTGTTCCAGGAGAAAACGACATTAACTTCACTGTAGGGCTCGATTACACTGTACTAGTCTTCAGCTGCACTGTGACTGACTCAGCGCCGCGAGACAAGATAGATACACAGATCACCAACCTATACCTTGGAAACTTCAGCAGCGCCTCTACTGAAAGCGTCCAGGGTTTTTAGATGTAAGTTATAGGGGGCCATCAACTGCACTGGGACCAACAGATGAAACCCAAATGGAGTCACTTGTGCTTAAGGGCCAGGTTGCAAACTGAGTCAAATTGTTTACTTGTTGATCTGACTTTCCAAGGCTGCGGGAGAGAGGGGAGAAGGGGGAAGGAAGAGTGGAGAGGAGGAGGAGGGAAGGAAAGAGGAGGGAAGAGGGAGAGAGGGGAGGGAAGAGGAGGAGAGGAAAGAGGAGGGGAGGGGAGGAGAGGGGAGGGAAGAAGAAGGGAGGGGAGGAGAGGGGAGGGAAGAGAAGGGGAAGGGAGGAGAGGGGAGGGAAGAGGAGGGGAGGGGAGGAGAGGGGAGGGAAGAGGAGGGAGGGGAGGAGAGGGGAGGGAATGGGACCAATCTAGAGATGTTTTGCCAGCATGATACAAGAAAATATCCTCATTTTAACTTTTACCAAAAAACAAAAGCTTTGAAATGATCAATCTCCTTTTTGCTCTATTTCTGCTCTCCTCAGCGCTTTTGTGTTTGGAAAGCCAATCTTTGCCCTGCTCAATGGGATCCTTGTTCTACAAAACAAGATTCTAGAAATGCCAGTAAAAACCAGCCAGGGTCTTTAAGTTTGTTGTGACTTTACCCTTTAACAGTTACAGGGAAATGCTGTTTCTGTGAAATTGAAGAGAGACTGATTGTGTGTTCTTCAACAACCAGCAATTCTTGGAGATTAATGTGATTAGGGGAAAATACCTATACAAATGTATAGGTTAGTACTTTCCTTGAAGAACAGTTCAAATAGAAATTTCCAGAATATTATTCCTTGTTGTTTTTGTATACCTTAAAATACACATTAAAGCCTCCAGAGTGTATGCATTTGATTTATGAGTATTTATTAATGGCTTGCTCTGTGTTCCAGCCACGGGGGCAGAGCAGTGAGCCTAGGAGACAAATCCCTTCCTTCCTTTCATAGAACTTATTATTAGTGGGAAGAAAACACACAGCTGAAGGCCGTCATTTCCAGGCAAGCTATAATAAGGCTATAACGAAGTGGGCAGAGGGCGGTAACAACAGTCCTATTTCTGAAAGGTCAGGAAGGCCTTTTAAGGAAGTGACCTCGGAGGAGGACAGGGGTGAGTTTTGAGAGAGCACTTGGCAGGAGGACAGCCAGGACAGAGCCCTGGGCAGGAACAGGACGCCTCAGTGTTGGGCCAAGGACAACCCAAGAATGATCTCTCAAGATTCAGTGTGTGAGGTTTGATAGAAAAGTTTGGTGGATGTTTAATGTTTCAACCAAGTCTAGAGTAAAAAGCCCATTGCTGTGAATCATCCTCAAAATCCTTTCCCTGGCTTTGAACCCACTTATCCCACGCTCTTGCTACTTTCTGAAGCAGCTCTGAGTCCTCTTTCCTGAGTGTTTTTACGTGAATGCTCTTGCCAAGTGCCACCCAACAGAAAGGAAGGTCTTAAAAGCATGAAGGTGGGCTGGGCGTGGTGGCACACACCTGTAATCCCGGCACGAGAAGGCTGAGGCCGAGGATTGCTGTAAGTTTGAGGGCAGCCTGGGCTGCATAGTGAGCTCATGGTCAGACTGGATGACATGGCAAAACCCTGTCTCAAAAGACGAAAACACGATGGTGTAACTTATGTACCCAGATCTGACACCATGCAACTTCTGGCTCTTTCTCAAAATCAAAATGAGCGTGAAGGTTGACATTTTTAATTGATTCAGGATATCGAGGCAACCAGAACAGCTCAACCGAAGACACACACAGCAGAGACTTCCAGAGCAACTGAAGAAAGTGGCAAGGACAGGATAAGTGTGTTCAAAGTAGGAGGAAATGTTAAGGCCGCTTAATGCAATGTGCCTTTTACTGTAATACATATTTTTAAAAAGTGAACATTCACCATATATTTTGACCACACAGCATACCAACAGTTCACTGTGGATGCTGTGATGGTGGTTTTAATGTCCAACACTGTGAATTTTTCTCTACTGTTTACAAGCTTGAGAAACTGAATTTTGAGAATCTGAGTCTACTGCGAAGGCACTTGCCTAATACATCAGAGAGGGGATGGAGATGGTCCCACCCGCAAACAAGCACTGAGCAGACTGCTATAAAACAAGGAGGGGCTCCCAAGGAACAGACGCAGAGTCAATAGAGGCAAGCTTACTCCTCTTCCTGAGTCAGATCCCTGCCCTTCCTTCCTCTCCTCTTCCCAGGTTTCTTCTTGATTTTACCCACAGTTCAGCGGGGGCAGCCTCTCCACTTTCCTCTCATCCTTGGTATCCAGGCAACACTGGGTGATGAGCAAGGACACCAGCCCTCGGGGAGGCACAAAGGAGGCAGAGAGAGCAAGGAGGGAGCCACACCTGCCCCCCAAGAGGCAGGAGGAGGGAGGGCCCCAGGCTCATGCACGGAAGAGTGCAGGACCCTGTGTGCATCTGTCTGTGTTCCAGGTCTGCTGTGGACTCTGGGACATCCAGGTCCTCTTCACCCCAAAGCAGCCTGTCAGGAATCAACAGGACACTTCTGTCTTTCCCAGGGCTCTTACCAAATCCTAGTTTGTATCTGGTTTTGATCAACCATAGAGGCGGCTTCTCTTCTGGAGAGAAAGCTTCAGCTCTCAACTGACCAGCACTTACACACACACACACACACACACACACACACACACACACACACACTAATGCATACATGCTGCAAACTGGTGCAAGACTCAATCAGACCACTTGGATCACACAAACAAGCTGCCTGATGGAATCAGGGACTCTGCTTCCAACGCCAATCATCTTGCTCTGGAGAGACAGGGCTCCCTTTCACCCAGGCTCCCCTGGACTCAGTGCTGGGCAAGCTCACAGGATGGGTGGTGAAAACAACACACAGATGAAATTTTTCTACCTCGAAACAAACCCTCTGAGGTAGTCACGCACTTGGAGTCAGACTCCATCTCTTCTGCCAAGTGGTGGGTTACTGCCGTTCATCGGGAAAACTGTTTGCAATTTGCAAAGCCTCCAAATTCTGCCTCGGGAAGTCTATGCCTCTTGGCTTGCCTGTAGCTCCTCCTTTGTGACCATGAGATGGGCCTGATAATCACACACTGGGTTGCATAACTCTTATTATTCTGACCACAGTAGACTGTGCACAAAAGAGAACCCGTGTTTGGCATTTTCTGGTTCACATCAGCGGCTTCATCTAAGGACAACTGCAGAATCCTTCTCCCAGCACAGTGGTCTCTTGCTGATCCTGAAGCTGGAGGGTCTGCAGGGACAGCTGCAGGGCAGGAATACTTGTCCCCTGTCTTCTACATGCCCTTCTGCCTCCTCCCTCACCAAATGCTTGTCTCTCTGGCTCTTTCCCTGTGGTCAGGCCACACATGGAAAAGAAGTGGGACCCAGAGAGTCCTGACGCTTCCCAGAGGCCCTGGTGCTTCAGGAGGGCTGGGAGGCAGGGAGCAGCCAAGGCCGGAAAGCGCTTACAGATGTGAGCGGATCCAGTGGGCCACTGTGGTCCTCTCCCCATCTTCCTTTCTGCCTGCCCTGCCAGGGGTCCTGGCCTCAGAGTGGGGACCACATCCCAGCCACAGATGTCAAAGTGGCAAGGAGGAGGATGCAGCTTTGATCTGGGAAGAGGGAGGGCACTGCCCAGGCCAGAGGCAATTGGGGGTCAAGCTGGGTCTGGAGTCCTGTGTCTCAGTGCACAACCTTGCATTCTTCCCACAATTAACATCAAATAACCACCTTAACTGAGCTGTGAGATTCTCACAGACTCACTTTCGCTGAGTAAACAAGAGTGACCTGTCAAAATAAATAGGCCGTATCCTAGTTGGCTACGGCATCATAGAGGAACACCTCAAAGTGCCCTGTCTTCAGGTCTCGGAAGTGAACAGGGTCTGGTGACCTAGCGGATGTGTTCTGTCTCCTGAACACTTCCTTCTTCTGCCGGGTACCATGTGATTATTTACAACACAATTTGTAAATGTAAATCCCGAACACCTTTGGCTCTGGATGTCCAGAAGGTTACAGATGCTCAGGAAGGAAGGGTCCTTAAACACGTTGCCATCCACCCAACTCTTAGTGCCCGTAGCAGAGCACGTGTGTTGGAGGCAGCTGCCCATCTGATGTGGCCTCTCATAGTTCATCTTTCAGCTGTGACTGCAAACCCCACTGAGGCCTGAAGACTGCATAGTCACCTTGTTAGTGAAGCAGACTTGTTAACAGTTAACTGTGTAATTCAAGCCAGGGTGTTCACTATGCCATTGAATTTGTCTATTTGCCAGTCTCTGCAGCAGGGTATGTACAGCAGAAGGACTAAGTAACCACCCATCATCCAGCATCCAGATGGCGACCCCTCTGCCCTGCACCGTGTGCTAACATGGTGGAAATCCCCGAAGGTGCCCCTCGGATTACATCCATGTCCCAACTGCCCAGCCCCAAGCAGCATCAAGTGCTCAGGATATGAAGTTGGAAGCATCACAGAGGGTGCAGAGAGAGGGGCTCAGAGACACTTCTGGTGTTCACAACCTCAGTCCCCTGTGACAGACCTGCTCTGAACCTTCCGCATCCCACTCCAGCTCTAGTGACCATAATGACATCCCTCGCAATGGGGAGAAGGCGGCTCAGGGAAACGGGGGCCAGCCCAGATCACACAGCACTCTGACTCTGATTCCTAACCCTGGTTCTGGTACCTGAGCCTTAATCCAAACCAGGGACCACATGGGCGAAGTCCCTGCTCCATCTTGGGGAAACGGATCTTTGACTTTTTTCCGTTATACAAAAATGAAAAATAAATACCAGATGCTAGAAATCATAGTGTAGCACATCTTCCCGGGACCTAAGTGTACATTTTAAGTGAAAAAAATCAAATTAGAAAATCCACAGGGCAAAAAGATGTTTTCAATGAAAATGCCAGCCCCCTTTCTCTCTCTCCCTCTTTCTCTTTCTCACACACACACACACAATATCTCATTGTTTCTTTTTCAGGGAGCAGCTGTGAAGGAAACTGGGGGAGGGGCAGACACAACATTCCATCTTTGTGTTTCATACAGAGCCCAGCTTTTAGCCCAGCCTTCTGAACCGCAGGGGGTGTGGCATGCATGACTACCAAACACAACGACCTGATGACAGCTTACAAAATAACTGGGAGAAGCTACTCACAGGCATCTCAATTTGAGTGACCCTGCATGTGGAGGCTGCCTTCCTCTTGATTTTGAAAAGGTAGGTGCTGTAGTTCTGCTTTTCATTTGTAATCAGTGCTAGAACCCGGCATGGCTTCCCACTGCCCCTCTGCAGCCACGATAGGTGACTCCCACGGATGGAGGGCTTGTGCAGTAGCTTTACAAACGCAGTCTCGTTTTTCCCCTGACTAGCAAGGCAGATATAACTAGGGCCGCTTTTCAGACAAGAAGAGACTGGGTTATGCTAAACAACAGGCCTACACTAAGGCCCAGTCCAGTGCTGACTCACTCCAAAGTCTTTGCCCTCTCCCTACCAAAAGAGACAAGGAGAAAATTTCCATGCACCAGGACTGCACTATGTAAACTCCCCAGGAAAGATCCAACTGTGCGTAACAGTAAAATCATTCAAAACTGGAACTGATTGGGTGAGTAGTACATTGAACAATATAGCATGATGATATTTTTGTTGAAGCTAGGCATGGTGGTGCACCCTGTAATTCCAACACTAGGAAGGCTGAGGCAGGAGGATCACCACAATTCAAAGCCAGCCTGGGCTACAGAGTGAGTTCAAGCCCAGCCTAAACTATATAGTGACACTCTGTCTCAAAAGAACAAAAGAAAGAAAGAGAAAAGAAGAGAAGGAAAGAGATAGAAGGAAGAAAGAGATTGTTTGTTTGTTTGTTTGTTTATTTGTTTGTTTTGAGACAGCGTCTCACTGCATAGTTCCACCTGGCTTTAAACTCACAGTGTAGCCCAGGCTGGCCTCAAACTTACAGTGCTTCTCCTGCCTCAGCCTCTTGAGTGCTGGGACTACAGCATGCACCACTACTCCTGAACAAGAAAAGATACTTCATTGAAAAGATAGAATTGTAAGTAGCTTCTTTGGGTAAACGGTTTTTTAAAAGACATATTTACCTGTGCAAACATAGTTTATGTGTTTTATCTTAGTATGTGAAACCTCAGTGTTTTCTGCAATTCCTTGTTATCCATGGTGACACCCAGGAGCTCTTGAGAGACTGGCACTGAAACATATAGGCTTCACTATTGGCTAGGAAGTGGCCCGGGCAAATCAACTTCATGGAAGAAAGGAGGATGTCACCGTAGGTGGCTTCCAAGTGGGACACTGTGGAACTTGGCACAGCAGCCCACTGCCCACAGGGAGGCTCTGAGCCTCACCTGCTCAGGGTGGACCTTCTGAAGCCTTAGAAGAGTGACTTTTAAACTTTCTCATACTCAATAATAGTTATGCTTAAATTACATATTTTTTAAAAAGTAAGCTCTTCCTTGGGATAATCTTCCTAAAAGTATCAGAAGAAGATATGAAAATAGATATCATAGGCAATGCATATGTTACCCCAGGCCACACACAGGGTGGATAACGTGCTCTGGAGGCTGAATCGGAAGAGAAGGGGTGCAGAAAACATCAGGCATGAAACCACCCCTTCCTCCTGCAAGCAGTTTTAACCCCAGGAGCAAAACTCCTGCAACTTAGATCCTTGGAAGAAGAGAAACCAAGAGCGATTAACCTTGTTCTTGAAAGCCAAGCAAAAGAGCATGTTTCAGCCAACCGAACAATTTTTGTAATGAGACATTTGTCAGAGTGAGACACCAGAACCAATTTCTGTTGTCACTTCTGGGTGGTGAAGTGAGACTCATTGGTCACAGAGGCCACGTTTAGCAAAAGGTGCAGAGGTGGTGTGAGGCTTCCAGCAGAGAGCTGGAGATGGGCCCAGGCCCCCTGGTGGGTCTCAGTTTCCTCATTTGACTAACTGTGGGGGTGGGGAACGACTGGAAGAGATGTCTTTTAAGGTCCTGTGTATTGGGGAATCTTGTAGAACATCCTTACCATGCGCTACCCCTTGGGATCCAACACTTTCTGCAAGCCCTAGGTTGGGAACACTTGGGTAGAGCTCCTGGGATTCCAAGAATTTTCTCTTGAAAATGAATGCAAAGTCTTGTAGCATTTGGCTGGATTTCTGAAAACCTTCTCCTCCAGAAGGTTACGAGACAGATGTTGTTTACATGGCGGTAGAAACTGGTGGGAAATGGAACCCTAGGGACTAAGGAAGGTGTCATGCCCAGGAGGAGCCCAGGAGGAACCTCAGGGCCATCCAGGGCCACTCCTCCCGCAGCCCCCAGCTTTCCCTCATTACATAACTGTTCCCATGAAATCCAGGCAACAAAGCCTCCAAGAAAAGCTATTGATTATTAAAGTTATTTGGAGGCTCGGAGGCTCATAATAAGGTGGTTATAATTACTCCTGTTATGACACATCCTCTTAAATGCTCAGATCTGAGAACATTTTGCCTGCTTTGACTCAGCTCTCATCACAGGCAGAGGGGCTAAAAGCTAGAAATAGCTCATGTGCAGCGACAGGCAAGAATCACAGGGAAAGGAACAGGCCGAAGGCAAGTCAGAGAAGGAGGCAGGGGAGAAAAAGGACACCTCCTAATCTGCAAGTGCTGCCTCCAGAGGACCCCTTGGGAGAAATGTGTATTGCATAGCTACACCACAGCTGATTGTTCTATCTTTTGTGGTTAAATGTACCTTCCTCTATGGAAAATACCCTCAACATAATATTTTTTAAAATTCAGAACCAGGCACAGGGGTGAGAGGCAGAGGCCAGAAGATCACAAGTTTAAATCCTACTTGGGCAGCTTAATGGGGTCTTTTCTCAAAATAAATCTATAAAGTGCTGGGGATGTAGCTCAATGAGAGAGCTTCCTGCCCCACGCTGGGTTCCCCTGTAAGGAGTGGGGAGAGGAGTTCAGGAAATCTCATCCTGTTTGTGCTTTTCATAACAGCAATCAGCATTTATTGAGCATGTACTCTGTGTCGTGTGCTACCTTGGGTACTCTGTCTACATTATCTCTTTAATTCTCATCAACATGCATGAGATAGGCATGGTCATTATTCCTGCTTTATAGGTAAAGAAACTCAGGTATACCTTGCACACAGTTATACCTGGTACATGGCCCGGCCAGAATTCAAACTTGGTCCGGGCAAGTCTGTGGTTCCCGGCACATGGCCTATTAAGGTTTCCAAGCCACCACATCCTTGGAACAGCCCAGGAAGACGGGGCAGGAGTAGAGTGTGTGGGAACCAAGGGACAGTTCCCCTTATGAGTCTCACGGGACACTGTATGTTATGCTTGGTTTAATTTTGTTTTTTTCATAGACTGCTGGAAAGCCGAGTCTCCCCATTTACCTATTTCCCCAAGACACAGACAGGCACGCACGCATGCACATAGCTTCTGTTCATTCAAGAAGAATCCATTGAGCCTGGCACTTTGGGGAGACTCATGGGGATATCAAGTGAAACCAGAAACTTTAGGGCACAAGGCTTACACTGCACAGATAGTCAGATAGGTGTCCCCTGGATGGGGCGGCCCCGTACTCAGGACACAGGAACTTTCCCCAACGCCTGTCATTGTGCATCTTCTGGAGGCCCAGAAAGTTCCAGCTCTGTTTCCCCAATTCCAGGCTCCTGCTGCAGCTGCCCAGCCTCAGGATGGGGATGATGCTGTTGCTACTTTCCATGCTGGCAGGCCTTGTTGCAGAGGCTGAGGGACAAGCATTCCATTTTGGGAAGTGTCCGAACCCCCCGGTGCAGGAAAACTTTGACTTGAACAAGGTATGGTAAAGGCTGACCTCCTGGTGTTTCCTGTGTCTTGTTCAAATAAGCATCCCATTGTAGATCTGAATTTTTGCTGTTTGTTTTTGAAATAGTGTCTTACTATGTAGCTCAGGCTGGCCTGGAACTCACTATGTAGCCTTGGCTAGCCTCCAACTTCCATCCGTACCCCTGCCTCAGCCTCCCTAGTTTAGGATTACAGGTGGGCACCACTACCCCTGGCTCTGAGCCCCATTTTATTACCCTACTTTAACCTACACATCGAGCATTTGGAAAGGTGCCTGTGTTACTTGGATTTCCCCAAAGCAGATTCTGAGGTCAGGACAGGGTGGGGTGTGGGACAGGCAGTTTAGGCAGATGATTCAAAAGTACAAGAGACCACATGGGAAACTGAGCCCCAAAAGGCCGCGGAGAGCTAAAGTGTGAACAGAGAGGCGCAGTCCTGGTGGTGATGCTTTGGAAAGATGTGCAGAATGTACCTCAACTTACCCTGGGGTGGATGCCAGTGAGCCAGGGTCTGGAGACTGCCTGGAGCCAGCCAAGCCCTCTGAAAGAAGAGAGACGGGGCTTCCGGGGAGGGCGTATATATGGGAATTCCTGATGCAGGAGAGAATGCGGACACGGGGGAGGGGGCAATAATTGGGGCTGTTACGGTATTATTAGCCCATTCTGCAGAATGTCCCCCATTCCAGGTGATACACACAAGTAGAGTCCAACAATGAAGCTTCCCCACAATGCAGGATATACCTCAGGTTATTCCAGCCCTAGGAAAGGCCAGAACTCTACAAAGGCTCTCTTACTATCTGCACTAAAACACATCCAATTTCAGCACAGCCTGGCGCATGCCTGTCATCCCAGCCTCTAAGAGGCTGAGGCAGCAGGACCCCTGCGAGTTCAGGGCAAGCCTGGGCTACATGGTAGGTCCAACACCAGCCTGAACTACATAACAAGATCCTGTCTCAGATAAATGGGTAGATTAACAATAGACAGACAGACAACCAGCTCTCCCATGAACTGCCTTTCTTCCCAGGATGGGAGCAGAGGGAGCAGCAGAAAAGGTCCAGAGAATTTGAGTTCCACTTTAATTTTGGGGTATCTCCTAGACATTTTGGGAATTACACTTGATCTATATTTACAAAAATCCTGTGAGAACTAAAATTGAATTTTTAAAATGCAAGTTTTATTGTGTGAGTTTTATTGTATTAGTTCATATACCATTCCACTGACTTTATTTATTTATTTATGGACCAGAGATTGAACCCGGGTCTCACGCAAGCGCTTTGCCACCGAGCTACGCCTCCAGCCTGACCACTGACTCTAAAGCCGCTTTGCTTTCAGTCATTTTTAGTATATTCCCCATTGTGCAACCACGTTACAATCAATTTCAGAACATTTTCATCACCCTCAAACCCATCAACAGCCACTCTCCTACCCCCTAACCCTCGCGGCCCAGTCAGCCAACATTCTGCTCCCTACCTCTATGAATCCACCTACACTGAACATTGCATAGAAACAGAATCACAGAATACGTAGTTTTTGACTTCTCAGCATCATGTTTGCATGGCTCACCCACCTCGTGGCACGTGTCAGTACCCATTCCTTTTTATTGCCAAATAATATTCTACTGTATGGGTTATGCCATATTTATCCATTCACATTTGCATTATTTCTACTTTTTTTAGTTATTAGGAATCATTCTGCTATGAACATTCATGGTCAAGGAGTTTTAGGTGCAGGGAGACCTTCATTTTTGGTTCCCTCTGTCATCATCAGGGTAGAATTGCTGATGTGGTAACCCCATGTTTAAGTTTTTGAGGAATTATTATTGTACCATTTTTCAAAAAATCTTCACCACTTTACATTCTCACCAGCAGCATGTAATTCTAATTTCTTGGTATCGTTACAAATATTTATTGTTATTTGTTTGATTATGGTCATTTTAGTGAAGTGGTACCTCATTGTGGTTCTGACTACATTTCCTTAATGACTAATGAATTTGAATATCTTTGCATATACTTACTAGCTAATTCTATATACTTATTAGCATTTCCTTTGTATATCTTATATTCAAGTTATTTGCTCATTTTTTTGATACCAAACATTTATTTGCCAAGGTGACACCCCATTGATTAAATATTTTCTACATGATTCTACATGGAACTCCAGGAAAAGTAGGCAATAGTTTACCCATTTAAAAATTGTTATTTATATTTTCAATATTGAGATGTGAGTTCTTTCTGTATTCTAACTATACGTCCCTCATCAGATATGTGACTTAGGAATACATTCTGCAGAATTTTTCATCTTATTGACTTGCCCTTTGAAACAAAAAGTTCTTAACATAGCTGAATGACACACAGTAGTTTAGGACACATAGTAGCTTGTAATCCCAGCTACTATGGAGCTGAGGCAGGAGGATCAAAAGGTCAAGACCAGCTGGGGCAAATTAGTAAGACGCTGTCTCACAAAAGCAAAATAAAAAGGGATGGGGATGTAGCTCAGAGGTGGAGTGCTCACCCTGGTCAATCCTTAGTGACACACACACACACACACACACACACAGAGCTTTTATCGATGAAATCTGGTTCATCTACTTTCTTCTTGGGTTGCTTGTGCTTTTGCTGTCATGCCAAAAAAAAAAAAAAAAAAAAAAGTCACCGCCTAATGCAACATCACAAAGATTTACTCATAGATTTCAAAGAGTTTTACAGTTTGTGTCCTTACGTTTAAATCTTTGACCCATGTTAGGTTAAACTTTGTATACTGTATGATATAAAGATCCACTTTCATTCTTTTGCATATGGATATTCTATGTCCCAGCACTATTTTGTTTTGTTGAAATACTTTCCCTATTGAATAGTGTTAATATCCTTATTAAAATCAGTTGACCACATATGTGAGGGTCTAATCTCTGGGTTCTCAATTGTATTGTATTGATCTATATGTCTACTCTAAGACTATTATTAGACTTGATTACTGTAGCACTATAATGAGTTTTGATATCAGAATATATGAGTCTTTCGACTTTATTCGGTGTCCTTTGCATTTCCACATGAATTTTAGTGTCATCTTGTCAATTTCTACAGAGGAACCAGTTGCAATTCTGAGAGATTATATTAACCCAAGAAACAATTTGGGGGAATACTGCCTTCTTAGAAGTATTGTCTTCCGATTCATGAACATAGGCTATTTTCCCATTTGCTGAAGTCTTCTTTAATTGATTTTAACATTACAGAGTTTTCAGAGTATAAGCTTTGCAGTTTTAAATTTATTCATAAATATTGTTCTTTTGATGCTATTGTAAATAGATTTTAAAAGTCCATTTTCAGATTGTTCATTGCCAGTATATAAAAACATGTGGTTTTCATACACCAATCTGTTAGCCTTGCCAGATTCATTAGATTTAAATTTTTTTTTTTTTAGGTTCCTTAGGATTTTTCTACCTACATAACTCCCTAAGTAGAGATAGCTCTACTTCCTCCTTTCTTGGATTCTTTTTAAACATTGACCTCTTCTTATGTAGATAAATTATGACCCAGAAAGATTAAGAGAGCTTCACAGCAATATGAGACCAAGAAAAAAACGCACCATGTAACTCAGCCTCTCACTTCTGAATCTCCTCTTTCCTGGGAAATCATGCTTCCTTGATTTTAACTGTGGAGAATGAAAGCCACTCAAACAAGAGAACAATAATGCTACAAAATAGAGCTCCTTTTGAGGATGTCTGGGAAGCCAGTTGGCCTTATTCACTGGTTCCTTAAATAAAGGTTAAATTCGTGGTGTTAGTTCAGAGTGGTGCCTTAATAAACAAGTTGGACATTCTTGGCGGTGAGTGTGGGCCTCTCTCCGGCACAAAGCCATGTGACTGGAGCAACACTGCCCCCTGTCTGCGGCTCCTTCTCCACTCCTGTTCTGACCCTGGAGTTTCTTTAGCCTCGCTCTGTTGAGTAATACATTTCTAAATTTCTGAAATAATTTCAATTAAGTTTTTTAACTAGATATATGCTCATAGTTCAAAATTATGAAAGTGCTAAAGAGGACTGGAATTACAGCTTGCAAAATAAAATAGTAAAATATAAAATAAACACTAAAGTGAAAAGGAGGCCTGGCGTGGTGGCTCATGTCTGTAATCCCAGTACTTGGGAGGTTGAGGCAAGAGGATTTTTGCAAGTTCGAAACCAGCCTGTGCTACAAAGTGAGCTCAAGACCAGCCTGAACTGCATAGTGAGACCCTGTCTCAAAAGGCCAAACAAAACAAAACAAAACAAAAGGACAAAAGAGCATACAATGAAAAGTTTTCCTTCCAGCTTTGTGTCCTTCCATTTCTCACCCCAGAACCAACATATAAAATCAATGTATTGTATGTCTTTTGGAGACAAGGCGTATGTGTGCAAACAACTACGAATTCAACTGTGGCAGACAGAATAATAGTTTTCCGTAGCATCCATGCACAAGCCTGTGGAGGTTGTGACTATGTCACTCTACATGGAAAAGGGGGTTTTACAGAAGCGACCAAATAATAGGCCTTGAGATGTCCAGAATAGCCTGGATAACCAGATGGATCACTTACTCACATAAGTGATCTTAAACACAGAGAACCCCTCTGAGCTATGCTAGAGAGGTTTGGTAAAAGAGATAAATTGGAGGGACACAGTGTGAAGACAATTTTGATGACTTTAACAAAGAAGGAAGGGGGTTTCCAGCCAAGGAATTCTCTGTAACTTGGAAAAGGTAGGAAACTGATTCTCCCTGGAGCCTCCAAAAAGGAGCAGAGCCAACATCCCAGCATTAGTCAGTGAGGCTTGGGGCAGACTTCTGGCTTACAGAGTAAAGATAATAAATGTGTGCTGTTTTAAGCTTGTGGAGATTTATTACACAGCATTTTCTTATGATTATTATTACAGCAGCAACTGAAATCCAATACAATAAGCTTGTCTCCCATTTTTAGATCTAACAGAGGTCTAATAGAGACACTATTCTGTACCTGGCTCTTTTTTCATTATATCTTTGAAGTAATTGTATGCTGCTCTTTTTAGAAAAGATTTCTAAATTCCATAGAGTGAATTCACCATCATTTATTTAGTGCATATTTAGACTGATTCCTGGCTTTTACTGTGACAAAAAGTACTGCAATACCTAGCCTTACATATGCATCATTTTTTATACCAGAAGATGCATTGCCAGAGTGAAACTGTTAGGGCCAAAGAGCACAGGTGTTTTTAGCATTGTTGGATTTTGCCAAGCTGCCTGCACGGAGGCTGCAAATTGGTACAGTGTGTGTAAGGCACCTGTGGCAGTGCAAAGGTATCTGTCCCCTCCCTTCATGACCACAGTGGCAGCTTCTTAAAGTTAACTCCACGCACTCAAAGATAAATGTCCTCTCCAGCTTGTGCACCTGCTGAAATGTGACCCTGCCCGGGGTCACATAAGGAAAGTTCACCCAAGCCCAATCTCTTAACACCGCCGCCTGAGTTTGCTCCCAATTCCAGGATACCTGGTAGGCTTCCAAAATGTTTGAGATAAAAGGTACTTGCCAGCATGCAGAGAAATCTCTTCCTTTTGGAGTCTAGAATTTCACACAGCTTTTGGCTGAACAGGACCCTGAGAAGGTGTCTAACTAAGGCACCCTTTAGGAATAGAATGTAGCATTCAGCCGGTGCCCATGCCTGCGATTCGCTGATACTCGCAGGAATCAGAGCTGTGCTGGGTTTCCTCGGGAACAATGTGACCCATTCTGCTGGTTCCTTCAGGAAAGGCCGCTGCCTCTGAAAGACACAATAGGGAACAGTTCGCAGGTCCCCAGAGGGCCACAGGACTTTGCTCTTTTATTGTGTCTCTGCAGTATCTTGGAAGATGGTATGAAATTGAGAAGATCCCCGTGAGCTTTGAGAAAGGAAACTGTATCCAGGCCAACTACTCGCTAAAGGAAAATGGAAGAGTCAAAGTGCTCAACCAGGAATTGAGGTGAGCTACCGTGCCTGTCTGGGGCCCCGCCGCGGTGCTGCCCTGGAGTGACTGGGTACTCACAAGCTAGGAGTTGGGAGGAAGTGGCTGTCACCGAAGCCAGGTGGGGGCAGGACTAGAAGGCATTCATTCATCTCCTTTAGTACTTGTTGGGCATCTCCTGGGTGCCAGACCCTGGGAGAGGCACCAGGAACCCAGAGACAGCAAGACATCGGGACCATCTTGTCTGATGCCCAGACAGAGAGAAGCTTTTCTGTCTCCTCACAGAGGCGATGGTTTTTCCCACCTCCAGCAGTTTTACCTAACCTCTTTCTTCCTGAACAAGAATCAAATACCTGTGACACATATGCATACCCTAAGTTGTATAAACAGAACTGTACTTGCTATCATGGAGGCTTCTCACACTGATATTTGTTGCAAAGATTTACATTTTGGAAAGCAAATATAAACTTAAAACGTGCCCTAGGACAAAGTCTTCCTACCCATCCTCCATCAACAAAGATAAGTGCACCGGCGAACATATCCAGGCATTTCCTATGTACATCATTCTCTGCCTGGATAGACATGTAACATGTGGGTATATATGTGTCTGTATTAATATATGTACATGAGTATGTATTCATTTAATGTCCCTAACAACCCTGAAGTAGGTGCTGTTGTAAACCTCATTTTTGAGACTGTCTTTTTTTGGTGGGGGGGATCAAATTAAAGGCCTTGTGCTTGCTGAGCAAGCACTTATGCCACTGAGCTATATACCCATCCCCCTTAAATCTCATTTTTATACATGAAAAATTTAGGTACAGAGAAGTAACTTGTTCAAGGGTCACACAGCTAACGGTTCTGGAGGTTCCAGTTCAAGATCAATATTCTTTGGGTCTCTGGTGAGGGTGGCCTCATGGTGGGAGTGTATACTGGAGAAAATCCACTCAGGAGCCAAGAAGTAGTAGAGAGACAGGAAGAGGCCAGGGATTGACAGCTTACTTCAAGGGCACACTTGAGGTGACTTAAAGATATCTGAAGGTTCCACCCCTTCCCAATAGCATCACCCTGGAGACCAAATCTGGAGACACAGATCTTTAAGGGGACAAACCTGAGCAGGCCCCAAAGTTGCAACTGCCTCATTTTAAATATTTTGTCCCATTCTAACACCAGGAGTCAACAGTACAACCATGAGGCAGGGGTTCCGAGCCACAGAATGCTCAGCCAGGGTCAGAGAACTTGCATGCCCAGACACCTGGGGCAGATGAAGAAGAGCTTAGGCTCTTGAGTGCAGCTGCCTGGGTTCCAGTCCTGATTCTGCTATTGAGTGTGTTTTTGTAGGTCATTTACCAAGTAAGACTTTCCATGGTTAACCTGCTACCACCCTTGAAAACAGAAAAGCATTTCCCCAAGAACAAGTTGTGAGTGTATGATCAGAGCCTGGCATTTTGAAAACTATTCTAGAACAAACTGCAAATGATAGTGAAAGGGGAATGAACTGGGAGAGCCTGGTTCGATGTTTTGTATGCAGATGGAAACAGACTGTCCCCAGCGGCCTGAGGGCCAGGTAAGACAGCAGGGATCTGTCAGCAGCCTTACATGGTGACAAAGAGATACATGAGGAGTATGCCAGTGCATTTCCAGGCCTCCCTTACCTTTCATTTATTATCTTGTTCCTAGGACATCCAACACCACTAGCCACAGCACTAACTTAAATTTACAGACCTTTACACACACACAAGTGCTCTAATTTTAATTCCACCTACCCTCTTAAGGACTGGTTGACTGGAAGCTCCTCTGCAGGCTGCCTAGGAGGAGCCCCCACCCCGCTGAGCCTGGGCATCTTCCCTTCTCTGTCCCCAGCTTCACAGGGTCATTGAATGTGAGCCAGAAATGGGCCAGGTCCCTTCAAAAGGATGAAGGCATCTCATTCCAAGAGCTGTGCCACCATTGTGTATTCTGCTAGGGAAGAAATGATACTGCCAATTATATGTGTCAGGTGACAGTTCTGCATATTTAATGTCACTGAGGTCTGGGCTCACCCAGGTGTCACGGAGGCAAGGTCAGTGTATCCTCGCTGTGTGCTTTTCCCTGGCCTATGTGAAATCTCAGATGCCTGCTGACCTGGAAAGCCTCTCAGCACTCAAGGCCCTTGTGGGACAGATGATGTCACAAGATGTCCCTGAGACCCCAAGGGGAAAGCTGGCGGCACTCCCAGCTCCTGCTCTGTTTTGCATTATTTTCAATGACCAAATTCCTCTTTGTTCCTTTGTCTTTGTGTGTGGCTTTGTTTTTCCTTTGCTTTTACTTCCTCTCTCTTTAGAGCCTGGGAGTGGGGCAAGCTTTCCAGGTCTTTGCTGACAATCCAAACAACAAATGTGGAAGGGCAAAGGCCTAACAGGTCTCTAATTGCAGAGCATTCTACTGTCACTTCTTATTATCACTCTAGGACTCAATTCCTCCACTTGGTCTCAGTCACAGCAAAAAGCACAGGAAATGGAACTAAGATTGAGCACCAGAAATCACCACCATCTTAATGGCCCAAATCTTGCCTTTCATTGACTTTTGATTTTTAATGAGTTGTTTTTTTGTTTTGTTTTTCACTCAATACAGACCCGATGGAACCGTGAATCAAATTGAAGGTGAAGCCACCCACAGCAACATCACAGAGCCCGCCAAACTAGGAGTTAAGTTTTTCCAGCGTAAGTAGTGGGTTTTCTCAGGAAGTTGGGGGACAGGGGCTATGCAGACGGAAGGAGAGAGCCATGGGGTACCTGTCACAACTGCGTGTCGTCCATAGGGACTCAACACACAGTTGTTGAATGCACACCATGTGCCACTGGGCACTGAGATGCAGCGATGGGCAACACGGGGCTGGCCTCAACCTCATGGAATGTGCATCATGCTGGACATGACCAGCAACCAGGAGATTTCCTGTAAACTATCCTCAGTGTGCAGTGAGGAGAAACATTCAGGGCAGGAACAGTAAAAGACCCAATCCAGTCTTACTTCCCAGGGGAAACTGAGGCCTCCAAATGAGTAGCATTATCGAAACAACTAGCCTGAACAGAAGCTTGAAGGTAAGAGATGACAAGTATGAAAGCCAGGCTGAGTCCTGCTTCAGCCAGCTGCTGGCTGGGGAAGCCAAGGAAGAGAAGATTTGTTCTGGTTCAAGGGCTCTGATGTTGGTGCTGTATAGGAGACTGTGGGGAAGCATGGGTGCTCCAAGCAGAACAAAAGGCATTGGAGACGCCTGGGTAAAGCAGCCTAGAGCAGGGGAGGGTAATGGGATGCAGGACAGGGCTAAGGAGGTCCTTGAACGCCAAGCTAGGGAGTTTGCATTGCAGCCAGCCTGAACTGCATAGTGAAGTCCTTTCTCCAACACACACACACACACACACACACACACACAACTAAAGTACAAAAAAGGGTTTGGGTATAGCTCAGTGTGAAAGCCCTGGGTTCACTCCCCACTTCTGCAAACAAACAAACAAACAAATGAAATGCAGCCCCTGGGTCCTGGAGACCCATCTCTCCTGCTCTGGTCCAACCTCATGCTGCGTTCCTTTGGTTCTCAGTGATGCCATCAGCACCATACTGGGTCCTGGCCACCGACTATGACAACTATGCCCTCGTCTACTCCTGTACCAACATCATCTGGCTTTTCCATGTCGATCACATTTGGATCTTGGGAAGAAACCGTTACCTGCCCCAAGAAACAGTGACCTACCTAAAAGATATCCTGACTTCCAACAACATCGACATCGAGAAAATGACCCTCACGGATCAGGCAAACTGCCCCGACTTCCTGTAAGGGGGCTCCGGAGCATGGCTGCCACCGCCCCATCACTTCCTCCGCTTTGCTTATCCCCTCCACCCGCACCTCACAAAGACACAGAACGACCCATGGCGACAGCTGCAAACACAGGCAGGGAAGTTCACGGAAGCCACTGGAGGAGAACTCCAGGAAGCTGCCGGGACGCTTATCTCTGCCCACCCTGCCACCTCGCCATCAATAATAAACATGTTGCTGACCCTCTGAGACTCAGTGGACTCTGAATCAGGTGATGATGACGCCTCCGCCACTCTGACAAGATAGCTAAGGTAAACAGCTTGAAGGGAGGAAAGGTTCAAACTAGGCCCCCATGCCTCCCCCTCCCACTGCCCATTGAGCTCTGAAAGCATCAGTTAGTTTATTGACCAAGAAGTGGGAGGTTTCATGGCCCACCCCACCTCCCCCAAGGCCTCACTTCTGGCCAATGCTGCCCTGGGGACCAAAACTTCAACACGAGAGCTTTTAGGGGACATTTCGGATCCAAACTGTAACAATTACAGGTTTGTTTGTTGGTTGGTTACCATTATTATTAATATTACTGATGTATTCTTAGATATCCTTCTTCGAGTAAAAGCTAAGCTTGGAGCTGTCCTGGTTTAACGGTCACACTCCTGTCCTGGAAGGGAAGCTGACGGCACAGGCACACGCTGCTCACCTGAACCCAGGTGTCCCCATTCTGCAGCAGACACTCATCCAAGGGCGGAGCTGGGGTTCCTGAGTTTACCATGCAGTTTCCTTTTTCTCTCGTCAGGAAATTCCAAGGGTCAGGCTGAGGAGCAACCATCCTAGGGTCTGTGTAAAAAGGAGGGGGATCTATGTAGGGGGATTGTTTTTAAAGAAGATTAGTTTTTCCTGGCAAATGTGAGGTCCTGAGTTCAATTTCCGATACCAAAAAAATTATTTTTGTGTGTGTCTTTCATTCAGCTGCTATCTTCTGAGGCACAACTGCATTCCAGAAATTGAAAACTTCAGGCTCTTTGTCCTGCCTCAGGAGCTTACAGTCTAGCAAGGGAGACAAGCAAATAGGAAGTCATCACAGCCTGAGGTGAGGGTGCTGCTGCCCGCCAGACACAGGCCAGCCAGGTCACACGGTGGCTTCCCTGCTCCTTTGAACTTAAACCTTGTGACTTTTAAAATCAGAAACCCTCAGAATTATCACCCCACAACGTCACATAGCTCACACTGGCGCTCGGGGCCTGTGCTTCCCACACCGCCGCCGGCTCACCCCAGGCGGGGTGTCCGGCTCACCCCAGGGCTCTCAGCTGCTCTGATGAAGCAGTTGTTCCGTGATGTGAGCTACCGTTTGCTTTTTATCTCATTGCACAAAATAAGTTGGCATTTCATTCTTCCTAACAGCTGCCTGGCAACATTCAAGACAAGGCGATGCACTTGTTTGGTGCCTCGCCCAATACACAGACTCAGTTATTTCTGAATTACTGAATGGGTGGGCAGAGGGATGGACTTGAGTTTTTCAGTGAAGAAGTGAAAGGAAACTACAAAGCATATCGCAGGTAAAACTAAGCTTGAGAAAAATGGTGGTGACTCCAGAGGGCAGCAGGTGGGTACAACGTGTCCAGAGGAAACATAGGGAGTGGGGAAAGAAGAAAATTCAGAAGGGAGAGGAAGAGCAGAGCAGCGGGGAGTAAGCAGCGAAACGAAGACAACAGTTCCTAATAAATCCCATGTCCCTGCTGTCCGTGCCTTCGGTCATCAGCATGTCACAGCCCTAGTTCAGCTCTCAATCCCCAGCCCCCATTCAAAAGTCTTTCATAACAAATCCCGGGCAGCACATCCTATTACTTAGAAGCTACCTAAAGGTATTTCTCTAGCAATTATAGGCACTTTCTAAAAATGTGTGTCTTATATTCTTAAAGTGCTCGGAGGATGTAATCTCTACATAAATTTAAAAATATTTCAACATAATCTAGATAAAAAGGAATATGTGCTAAAACACTCATCATAGTTTTGTGGATAGTAGCCCCAATTGAAAGAAGCTAAACTAAAACTAGCAGCAGTGGAAGCAGAGAAATGGGGTCATTACTTATGGAACAGCCACTTAACGCCATGTCACACATTCATTAAAATGTAAGAAGTGATGCCGGGCCTAGTGGTGCAAGCCTGTAATTCCAGCACTAGGGAGGCTGAGGCAGGAGGGTTGCTGTGAGTTGGAGACCAGCCTTGGATACCTAATGAGTTCCAGGTCAGCCTCCACTATATGGCGAGACCTTGTCTCAAAAACAAGGGAGGATGAGAAGCCACCTAAGAGTTGGTGCCTGCTCGTCCACACTCACTGCTGGGGAAGCCCCTGCTGGGGGACTTTGCTACCCCGCAGAGCTCGAATCTGTACGGTGTGCTTCTGAGGGGATATGACCACCACCACCTAGGCAGACCAGAGACCACTGTAAACCTCTTTATCCCACTGTGATTTTACATCTGCTAGATACATATAACAAGGCCCAGCAGCCATGACTACCCTATAATTCCCATCGTCCTTCAGCCCCCCTCTTGACAGGGAGCCCCCGCTTCCTACTTTCTCAAGCCTTGTCCCTGGTAGGAAACCCCAGCCGCTTTTCACTGAACTCTGCCCCTTGAAAGTCCCTTCTTGACTGTCTCATTTCATTGCTCCCCCTTTGTGCTCGTGACCCTCAAGAGACCTTATAGCCTGTACAAGAGTTATTGGTCTTGCCTAAGCCCATGCAGTCCTCTCAGGTTTGTTCTGAAATAAATGTGTCCCGTTGAACTTGCACGTTGGTTTTTTAGCCCTTGTTTCCTAACAGTTTCTGCCTCCTCACCCACTGGGCCAGGGCAGGTCCACCAGAGCATTAACAATGCTAGTGACAACCAGTCTACAGCTGACATCTGTGGATGGAGTAGAAAAGATAAACTGGAACTATCACGTCATGATGTGACTTTAAGAGAGCTGGGGAAACAATTGAAACCTCCTGTGTCACTTTGCTTTTTGTTGTTCTGACCAAATACATGATATTCACACTTCAAGGGATTTGTGGCTTCAAAGGTTTCAGTCCATGGTAGACTGGCTCCAAGGCAGAAACATCATGGTGGGAAGGTGTGGTCGCCCTGTTCAGGAAAGAAAAAGAGCAAGCGAGCCACAGAGACAGGGAGGGGCAGAGGACAAGAGCCAAGAGCAGCTCTTCCGGGCTACCTCTACAGTGAGCACTGCCTCCATCCAGGCCCCCTGCTAAGAGCACATTCAGCCACAGCCTCATCACTGCATTAATTCGTAAATGAGGGCTGCGCCCCATGAGCTAAGCACTTCCCAAAGCCCCACCTCTGATCCAAACCATAACAGCCCTGAGACTGTAAGGTCACATGTTCTGCTGTTGGTGACGGTAACTCAATCTGTGAGAGTGCAGAGGAGAAAAGCAGAGATCGGCAGAGAGCTTGCACACACTTACCCCAACCCCCTCAGCAGCCGCTCCTGTAACTGGTGGCATTTGTTACCGTAACTCCATTCCTGTGGGCCTTTGCTGTTTTAAATACCTGTCCTTGAATTTTTGCAAGATTAGACACATACACACTCACACACAACTTTTTTCCTGAGATAATTTAACTCAACTCAGTAGATGTTCCTTGGAACCAAAATAGCCCTAAGACAAAACCGTTCACAAAATAATATTGAGTGGAAAAAAGAAATGCAGCATTTTAATTATGCTGTATTTATAGCTACATGAAAAGATGGTGTAAAATCAGGAACTAACAGTGAACAGAGACACATGAGAGCAATTAACGTGTTAGGTGACATTGTGGGAAATTTTTATTTCTTTTTTAGTTTTTGCTACTGCTGTTTGTAGTACAGGCCCACACCTATACACAGAGCCTAAAACCTCCTTGTAGTTCAGTCTGACCCTCTGGGAAGTTTGTGCCAAAACCCCTTAACTCCAATGGGCCTCTTCCTCCAACAACTACTTCAGACAGAGAGGCCTTTCTGGTGTATTCTCCCATTCCATCCTATCCATAACATACCTGAGAGAAGGGCGTGAGTTGTAAAATGCAGGATATATGGGAGTTTTAAATTTCTCTATTAAAGTAATCTGTAGGCCACCCATGGGCCGCAGGGAGGAGAACAAGAAGCCAGCTACTTCCTGTGAGTCAGTGCCATGCTCTGGCCTCAGGGAGGACAATGAGACACCAGTCCCTCCCAGTGTGTGGGTTTGGAGACAAGAAGAGCCAAGATTCGCCCCCCACCCCAGTGAGTGACCAGCTGATCCGGAGAAACTCAGGCTGAAATGATACTACCGAAGTGAAATACAGCCTAATGCTTGTAGTGTTCAGGGTTCACTGACTCTGCAGGCCTAAAGCCGGTAATCTGATCATCTGTTTAGAGGATAACAATATGCAGTGTGGCATATTGTTAATGGGGATCTCCTTCTCAAGGTGGTAGCCATTGTTAATTCCCTGTTATCTTGTTTTAAAGTCCTGTATAATTTTCATTGTTTGGTTTGGTTTTTTATTTTTCTGTTTTGTCTTATTTATTTTATTATACCTGATAGCATTTCAAAGATTACAAGATATATTATGGGTAGCTGTTGTAGATTTACTATAATCTTGTTTTGAAGTCCTGTATTGTGTTTTTATTGGTTCTATTCTGTTCTGTTTTATTTGATTTTCCTACATCTAATGGTATGGGCAGCTATTTTGAAGACAACAAGAGGTATTATGGTAGCCATTGTTGATTTCCTATTACCCTGTTTTCAAGTCCTGTATCACTTACACTGTTTTGTTTTGATTGGCTTTATTCTGTTTTATTTTGCTTGATTTTATTCTCTTTAAAATAAAAAAATTTTAAAAATAAAAAGCAATCTGTATAACCAACAACTTCCTCTGTAAACTTCTAGAAGACATAAAGGGATATATCAAATAATTTTACTTTCAAGAGTGTCTGCATATTGTTTTATTTTATAACTGACTCCTCCTAAAAGAAGTCATTTTCACTTTTATGAGTATGACAACTATGAAAAAATGCAATATATGTTAAATATGGTCAAGTTCCATGTTAAGATCAATTGTTTTAGTTATTTATGGCATTGAAACAGATTTAAGAGTTATCCAATATTTTCCAATAGACCAGGTGATGGGAACAAATTAGAAACACCATGGAGACTAGTTTGGCAGCTTATGACAGTAATCCCATCACTCAGGAGGCTGAGGCAGGAAGATCACCATGAGTTCAAAGCCAGCCTGGGTTA